TTTTAAGTCGTTGGGGCTCCCATAAACGTCCAAACTCCACGTCAGGAAGAAAGAGGGTTCTGCGCCCTTTAAAAAAATTGGACCCATGGAAATATCACCAAATATACAAAAGTCGGATTTTTTACTTTGTGGGGCCAGGAGGCTCCCTTTGTGTTCTTGGGAAACGTAATTTATACGCCCTTAAACAACGCGCCCGCGCTTGCGTCGTTGCCGAGCAACTGGCCGCCTCTCAGAGCCGAGGAAACTTGTAAGGAGGAAAGGAGAGAGGGACGTCTTCCGCGGCCGGAAATGAAGTACCCAGCGGAAGTGACGTGGGGATAGAGGGAAGCCTGGGGCAGCGGCTGGAGAATGTCTGAGGGGCTCTTCGGAGCAGAGGCTGTCTCGCGCCTTCCCGGTTTCGCTAAGCGGGTGCTCGTGACTGGCGGCGCGGGCTTCATGTAAGTCGCCGGGTGGGAGGAAACTTCGGTTTTTAGGGCTGCCCTTTGGAAGGCTTAAGGAGGGGGTAAAGCCCGTGGGGATTTGGCGTGCCTGAAAGCATGCGGAGGGCGGCGCTGTGTGCTTATTTTTGCCCTTTTCCGCGTCGCCTCTGTTCGTGTGGCTCTCTTTCAAGACGAAACCACTCTTAGCGTGCAGTGGTAATTTGCTGCTGTAAAATTGGAAAAAAGGGAGAGCAACAACTGTCATGCAGATGCCCCTTTTTGGTTGCTTGGAGGCAATTCGTACCCACATTAGGGCGCCGGTGATGGGCAGACCGAAAGTTTAGCTTTGTTTCATTCAAGGACAGTGAATTATGCAACGCTTTGGAAGAAACTCTGGGTTTTTGAGGAGAAAGAACTCTTTTAAGTTTCTGTTTTAAACTTTTTTGACGACTCATGTGTTTCTTAATTGTGCTGAGGAAGAAAATCTTGGTATGAGGGGACCAGGAGGGGCAGCCTTGAATCTATCAGAGGTTTTAAGTCTTTACTATACACGGACATGACGTTTGTTATTTAGAACCGGGGTAGATTTGATTTAAATCAAATAGATTTAAATCATGATTTAAAATTTTTAATGGATTTTTGACAATTTAAGTAAAAAATGTATCTTTAAAATTTTAATCATGATTTTTAATTTGATTTTTTTAAAAAATGCTGATTTTTATCCACCTTGTTTAGAACTGGCAAAGCTTCAAGGATTTTTAATGGATTTTTGACGATTTAAGTAAAAAATGTATTTTTAAAATTTAAATCATGATTTTTAATTTGATTTTTTTTTTAAAAATGCTGATTTTTATCCACCTTGTTTAGAACTGGCAAAGCTTCAAGGTGTTTATCCATCAAATACCAATTCACATTTTTGTTTCTCAAAAAATGCTTACCTTTTGAAGAAAATGCTCTGCAGTACTATTTTCTTGTTCTGGGAGGATGTGCTGTTGATCGTTTTCTGACCTCTTCCTAATACTTAAGTGAGAGATATTCAAGTTCCTGTATCTGAATGTTTTACAGCTTTGTTGGGTTTTTATTTAGTATATGTTGGAGGATCTTAATTCTCCACAATATAAAAAATGTGAACCCTGTTGTTTTAAAGTAAAGTGAACTTAACATGGATTTTGTGCTGTTAGAAATCAGGCATATATGGAAATCCACTATCATGATCCATACTCAAGTAAAGTAAGCTGCTATGTAGAGGAATATTGACTTTCTTGGCACCCTATATCACAAAAGCCAACAGGCATTGATATTTGCACTATTGCAAAATAAGTAAAAAAGGGGAACAAAAAAAAGTCAAGAGGAGGGAAAGGCATATCCCAGATGTTATGATCAATCCACCTAGAACCTGATGCAGCCAGCATCCTTCCATAATTTCACACATTCAGTTAAGATGGAATAAAAAGTAAAATTGGGGAAATGAGAATAAAAAACTCACAAAATGCGCAGGCTAATCTGCATAACCTCACTTTACCTTGTAGCTCTGCATTGCAGCTGGCATGATATATTAAACCAAGCCCACCCTTATGTCCGAGTAAATTGAGCATCTGGAGGGATTGTGGGATTTATTGGTTGTAGTGTGGATAGATAGGAGCAGATAGGAAGCCTGGATTTGAATCCCCACTTATCCATGCATGCTCAGTGTAGGCATGGAACTGGTAAAGCCACTCCTTAAATATCTTACTTAAGTTGAAAGCCCTGTTAGGGGCTTTCATGAGTTGGTCCTGATTTGACAGCACATAACTGCAAACCGCACCTTTAGAGGGCAAGTTAGAAGCCATTGTACACAATCATTGTTTTGCACTGGTTGAATAGCTCATTTGCACTGGTTGAATAGCCCAGTGGTTTAGATATCTGGCAGTGGAGCCAGAGGTTGGGAGTTCAGTTTCTCACTGTACCTCTATGGAGAAGAGCCATCCTGTGAAGCATTGGGCAAGCTGCACAGTCTCAGGGTGTCCATAGAGAAGGCAATAGTAAATCAGCTTCTGAGTACTCAATATATAGGAAACCTTGGAAAGGGTCACCATAAGTTGGAATCAACTTGACAATGCACAATTGTTTATTGTTAAGCTGCCTCACCACTTTTAGTGTTGGTAGTTCATTCTACTGATACTATGTATACTTTTGATTTCCCCGTTCAAATGGTTGATCTTGTAAACTTTTAAAGGGTGAATGGAATGCAGAGTATCTGTAGGTGCATTGCTCTGATCTGGGAAGCAAATAGAAGCTCTTTGCTCTGCACCATAGGCATCCCAAAATAACACAAATACCCAATCAGGTTTTGTACATTTATCCAAGGACAATGCTTATCTCAAACAATGCTTGTTTGGTATTATGGGAAACTCTCATTGACACTGCTCTGCAAACTTTTTCAAGCCACTTATAAGTGATAATATGTTCCTGAGACATTTGTTTTCACTGTGGTGGATGACCTGGGAGATAATTGTCTAGTATATTTGCAATGGCAAGACTTGTTGGAAGACTCATGTGTTCGGTTTGGCTAGCCCTAGTGATAGAAGAAGGTGAGTGGGGAAATCTTGTAAGATTTGCAAAAATGAGGGAAACAACAAACTGCTGATGTATGTAGACAGGCTTTAGCAGGGCTCCTGGAATGTTCTATGCAATTTGTTGTTGATACATGTTTTTTTGTGTTTTCTCTTTCAAAATCCTCAGAGCGTCTCATGTGGTGGTTTCTCTTGTACAAAAGTATCCAAACTATATGATTATTAATCTTGATAAGGTAAGATCTTTTGGTTAAAATATACACTGAATGTAATTCCAGAGCTTGAAAGCTTGTGTCAAATACCAGCCTAATATGCCATGGTGTTTCAAAAGATAAATCAGTGAAGCACCACTGCATTTTTGACTGGCATGCTAGACCTCAAAATTACATGTGAAATGTTGACATGGAGAAAGCTGCTGTGAAAATTGAATTTTAAATTATTTGTTTAGTCATCCTAGAATGTCAGTTCTCTGGGAAGATCAGAGAATTTAAAATGAACAGTGTGACAAAACCACAGACTCCTTCTCAGAGTACATGTGAATAACTGTGATCTCCCCCCCCACACACATTTTGACTGATGTGTTTGACTGCTTCTGTGAATAGCAGGTCACTGTACCATATACAGCTTGAGAGAAAAGGCCTTTGTGTTTTCTGTATTCCTGATATTCCCTTTTCCCACTTCTTTTTGGCTGTACTTATTAAGTATGTTTATAGGTGTTTAATAATTTTTTTAAAAAGCATAATACACTGATCTCTCCATGATCATTATGGTGTAAGTAACTGATAAATTATGTTATTGGTATCTCCAAAAGCCCTGTACCATAGCAATTGATGACGTGCACCACCAGATATTTACAGTATTTTACATAGCTATTTTGAGGCCCAGCAAACCTGACATCACATACGCATTCGTTGCAACTGTTATTTTAGATAACTATAAAGCACTCTGTGGCCTGGCCTGTTAAGAAAACAGCAGTGTGATTTCTCAAGCTTTATTTAAATTAAGCAAAATTAAGTGCACTTAGTGTGCATCTCACACATGGAATTGGCTGTCACCATCTGTGATGCATATTCTTTCCCAAAGTTGATTCTCCATGCAGATATTTCTTGCTACATAAGGATGTTATTTTTATTTCTTTGCCCACTATGTAATAAAACAGTCTCTATATCTCTTTCTTTCTTTTAAGTTGGAGAATTGTGCAAGCTTAAAAAATCTTGAGGTAGTTTCTCAGAAACACAACTATAAGTTTGTCCAGGTAAGTTAAGAGTTTGATTATGCATTGATCTAAAAACCATCAGCAAGATTGGCTGTCCTGTATGAATTAACCTGAAAAATAAGGCCTACTGATCTCAGTGGGTAGTTAGACATAGGATTGCACAAATAACCTTTATTTTGTGAAAAATATTTAATTCAAGCATGTCATGTATTAGGATGGGCAATTGTGTCCCTCTCAATATTTTTCAAAGTGCAAATCTTTTAATTCCTCAACATTGCTTATTGTGACTGGGGCTGATGGGAACTACAGGCCCCAAACATTTGGAAGGCCATGGTCCCCACCTTTGCCATGAATATATATTTAATTTGGAAGGCCATGATCCCCACCTTTGCCATGAATATATATTTAATTTTCTGCTGTTTCTTTAAAAAGTAGGAGGAAGACATTGATACAACTGAATACAGGAAGGTGTACATACAAAGCTCTTGTTGGCTATTAATTTTGGAATTTTTTTTATCTTTTCCTCCTTTTAGGGAGACATTTGTGATCCAGGTTTCATTAAAGAATTATTTGATAAAGAGAAAATTGATCTAGTATTACATTTTGCAGCTCAAACACATGTAGGTGAGCACTGCATGTCTTTGTAATAAACATTCTGTACTGTAATAAAATATTTTTGTGTGGGGGTGGAGGCAGTGTTTGTGTTAATATGGATACATATGTTGATGTTGCAGCAGTATTCATTCCTGTATGCAAGTTACGTTTCACTGTTTGCCACTTACTCACATTTTCATTGTTCGTTGGAAACTCTTGCGTTGGTTAAATCTTGGCTGAGCCACTGAAGATTGCTACCCTCCCCATGGCTCTTTGTCCTGTGGCTGAGAAGTCCTTGTCAGAACATTTGAGACTCTGAGCTTTAAAATGGTTGTTTATTCCTGTACTTACAGAGAAATATCTGAATACTTAATGCCCAAAATAGCATAGTAAATTACACAAGAGTAGGCCCACTGAATCAATGGGGATTTAGTGAATCATTTCCTCCATAAGTTCAGTTGATTCAAATGGGTCTACTCTTAAGTGTGGCTTACTAAGCAAAAATATGGGTGTGATCAGGTGGCTGGAAAAGCATATGTGTGATCACACCAGAAATAGTAACTTGCAGGGAGCGATCTTCCTTAAAATGACTCCAGCCTGGCCCTAAAAAGTAGTAGCCCTATCGTAGGCCATAAAGGTCCAGCTTTGGCATGGATCAGGGCCAGCTAGAGCTCACCTCCTTGTATCTGATATGATGCCAAGAAATAAATCTCACCAGATGGTTTCACAGGTGATCCAAAATGGGATCTATGTGGTTACAATTAAGAATATTTAAGAGTATGCAATTAAGCGCCTGTTTGAATTGGAACTTATGGAGGAGTTGATTCATCAAATCCTCATTGATTCAACGAATGTACCCAGATGCTATTTACTATGCAAAGCAACAGGGTTTGGTCCAATAAATAATTTGTTTGCAATAACACTGGGTTTTCCTATTTAAACTAATAGGGTCTGAATACTTACCGGTAATTGACTGGGCTTATGACTTGTAATTGTAAGTTCAAGTTCTAAATGGTTTTGCAGTTTCTTGGCATTGGTTTGATAATCTTGTGACATCTAGTTGCTTAATCCAGAAATGGGACTTGCTTTTTCCAAGGCATTTATAAACTGCTTTTCAGTTTAAAAGAAAAATGAAGAAAACTCCACCTGAAGATAATAAAATAAAACCACTGTAAAATTGCTAAATGCCAGCTGACTTTAGATGGTTTCCAAAGATTTATTGTTCTTATTATAGTGTAGAAAATTAAGAATTTTATCATTATGTTCTTTCTACTGTTCTTCATGGCAAGTTACCTTTTAATGTTCAGGGCAAACCAGATGGGGTGGGAAGGAGAAAATACATAGTAGAAGAACCACCAAATCTCACAGGGCAGAAAATGAGTCTTGTTGCTTTTCTTACAATGTGTTTGTCTTGGCTATCTCTCTTTTTCTAGTCCCTGGTTGGTCTTCTTTTTAAAAACAAACAAACTTTCCTTCCCATTGGCCAGTTCCTCAGAAAAATTTAGAGCGTGGTGGGATAGATTTGGATTCAAAACATCTAGCATTGCTGCTTTTTGCCATTCTTGCCATCAGCATGGGTGGAGCAGAAAAACTAGTGGAAATTATTACACCCACACCTGGGAGGTTAATGAGGGCAGACCTGCCTTTTTTTGGAGAGTGTGAACTTGGGGGCAGATCTGATAGCATCTCTGCCAGAGCGCTGTCCATCCCTTGGGACAAGAGAACCTAGAATGAGATGACAGAGACAGGAACCGAAGAAAGAAAGGAAACACAGGAGTCCCCTAGAGAAGTGGAGGAGGAGCACCAAAGGGAAGAGAAAGGAACCAGACAGATAAAAGAGACGGGAAAGAGAGAGATCGTGATTGGTGAAGAAAGTGTTGGACTATGCACATCAATTATGTCCCAGTATGCAGTGGGTGATTCTGCCAATCCTTCAGTTCTGCCCTGCTATTGGGGCGCTATTGTGCATTGGTCACTTCCTGCCCTTCCTCTTCTTGCTTGAAGAGGGGCCTTTTCCAAGATGGAGATTGCCTGAGCACATGCTATCAGATTTCTCTCTCTCCATTCACACTGCAATCTGCAAGCCCCTGAGGCTGCAAAAAACAAAACAAAACACAAACAAGTTTGCCCAGTTTAGAAACATTCATGAAAGCTAAAGAAACTTGCCTGGAATATGTTAGACAAATGCCTTCTTTATTTTTCACTCAAATGCTATATTTTGACCTTTGCTACTGAAACTAAAGTCTGCAGTTAATAAGCCTTTTACAGTGGTGCCTTGACTTATGAAATTAATCCGTATTGGAATGGCTTTTGTAAGTCAAAATGTTCATAAGTCCAAGCACCATTTCCCATAGGAATGCATTGAAAACCCATTAATCCATTCCGGCTGAAGAAAAACAACAACCCCTAAATAAAAATAAAAATCTGCAAGCCCCTGAGGCTGCAAAAAACAAAACACAAACATAACCCTACCAGCCCAATCCCACCCTGCAAAAGCCACCCAAAACAGTAAAAAGCAGCATATTTACCTCCCCACGAAGCCTCCTCTTGAGCCTCCTGGCCATGGTCAGCCGCCTGAGCCAGGATCTGGCTGGGAGTCCAGCCAGGAGCCACAGCCCAGCTGGGATGGGTCCTCGCCTCCTGGCCGGACCGCGGCCACATCCCTTTCCCTAATCGTTAGGGCGAAAGAGCTACAAAGAAGCAGCTTCTTCACTGTCAATGGTTAATTTTTTTGAATTTCCCGCCCCTTCCCCCTGCCTTTTTTTTGTTTGTAGGTCAAAGCTCCGGCCACAAGTCACAGCAAAATTTTGCAGCCGGAGCTGTTCGTAAGTCTATTTGTTCATAAGCCAGGGCGTTCATAAGCCAAGGCACCACTGTATGAAGTTATTACAAGCTAACTCCATGTTTTTGACTCTGTACTGAATTTAGTTCATTGAAGATAATTGGTCAGAACACACGATGCTCTCTAACAGAAAGGAGATGGGGCATAGAGAAAGGTGGAGTAGAAAAAAGAGAAGGAGGGAGGCAGAAACAGGAGCGGCAAAGGAGGAAAGGGAGAAAATGATGGTGGAATGGATCTGGGTGGAAAACCTGTGGACCCATAAGTGGGAGAAGCTGATAGTCCCTTGGGAGGAAGCTGGCAGGAGAAGGAGACATAGGGTTCCCGAAAAACCCTCATATTGGGGTGAGAAAGAAGTACGGGAGTAGGGAAGAGAGTGCTAAAGTAGAGAGAAAAGAGAGAGAGAGATGGATGAACCACTCTGAGCCAAGACATGGGACTTTCAGTAACCAAGAGAGAGAGAGCTGCACAAAACCCAACAGGAGGACAGCTGTCCTTATTGCCACTATCTCCATAACCAGCCCTGATGGACCTAGAGACAGAATGTCTTGGAGGACTGTGGGAACAAACGTTTGGAAACTGTTTATAGTTGATGAGAAGAACCCTTTTATTAACCCATTAGGTTTAGAAGAGTTGTTAAATGTTAAAAGTTGATGTCCATAGTTTCCTTGATGTTCCAGAAATAAATGTTGAATGTTTGAAAGAACCTGAGGAGTTTGAGTCGCTTCCACACACCTTTCCATCAGATGAACCGTCACAGAAAGGGTTCATCTTACGATGTTTGGGACAGCCTTCCAGAATTCTTTAAAAGCAGCTTGTTGTGTGATCTTGGGGGAGGTGATTTTTATATTTTAAAACAAAGTCCATTTTCAGTTCTGGAGCTTTCCGGAAGCAGAGTAGCTGTGGACCTTAGTGACTCTGGGTACCCAAGCTGAACACTTACTTCTGTTTATTCTTTCTGTTTCCAACATAGATCGATCTTTCTGGCACAAACATGAATTCAACTATGTTAATGTTTATGGAACTTACATTCTTGTTGGTGCTGCTTATGAGGCTAATGTGGAGAAGTTCATCTACGTCAGTACTGATGAAGTTTATGGGGGAGGCTGTGATCAGGTGAGCTTGAATCAAATTTCTCTTTCATGTGTGTCCTTTTTTTGTTTGCCTCTGAAAAAGTTAAGTAGAACAAGGTCTTGTGACCACTTCATGTGAATGAAGAGTGATGTTCTTTGAATAGTGTTTTTTACTTCCCCCGACTGACCTAAATAATTCAGTGTATGTTAAAACTGAGCCTATTTTGTGCTCAGTGCAGTGAAGATTTTGTCTTGCATTTGCAGCAATAGTTATGCACTTTAAAATATTGGAATGAAAAAAAAGTATTATAGTGAATGGATGCACTTGTACAATTTTTTCCACAAATGGAACAATGTTTCCTAATTTGATATTTGACAGCATTTTTATGTTGGGGATTTGTTTTTCTCATCATTAGGAGCCATTTTTAATCTGATAAATCTATGTGAAAAAAATGTCAATGCATTGAATATCCTGAACATTAAAAATGGTTGTTTTAGGAATTTGATGAATCCTCACCTAAAAAACCTACAAATCCTTATGCGGCATCCAAAGCAGCTGCTGAATGCTTTGTGCAGTCTTATTGGGAAAGATACCAGGTAAGCAGAAATGAAGTTTTTGGTTCTTTATGTTATTTATTTCCTGGGCATGGTTCTTAATTACAAAGATGTTTATCTGAAGCCATGGCAGAAAACAACGTGAAATAAGCACAAGAATGTAAATATAATCTACATTTTCATCCATGTAGATTTGTGTGAGCTGCTGAACTGTGGCTGAAATCTTGTTGTTTAGTATAGTAAGTTACACTAGTGTTGACCCATTGAATCAGTGAGGATTTAGTTTATGAGTCAACTTCTCCATAAGTTCCATTGATTCAAATGGGTTTGCTTTAGTATTTACTTACTATGCTAAAATTATAATTAGAGCAAGCCCAACTGAGTCAGTGGAACTTATAGAGGAGTTGACTTGCCAAATCCCTGTGGATTCAGTGTGTGTATTCTAATGCAACTTACTATGCTAAGCAACAGGTTTTCAGTCTATATGTTTCAGTTTTCTGGCAACAGGTAGTGCATCCTTCTTTTTTCTTGGAGCATTTACCAAATCCATCCTGACTCAAGAGCCCAACCTTTGAGAGATAAAATCTGTCCCATTATCTTCTTGCTACCTCTCCATACCTGAAGCAAGAAATTCTTTCTGAAAAGAGGAAGACTGGTTCCTGCTCCCCCGCCAGCATTTATATCCTGCTTTTTAAAAAACAAAATTAAGATAGCAATGAAAACTGGTTGCACAACTGGAAACTGCCACATATTTCCTTTGTCCACAGTTGAGGACTAGGTGTGCATAAATGTAAAATTATTTGTGCCACTGGAATGATATCAAAAAGTATTGCCCAATGTATTCTACTAATGTCCTTAAAATGCCGAATTGGAACGTATGTATAATATAGATACATGGTTTTGGTAAGCAAGAATTATTTAGTTTGTATACTTGGTGATAAGCCCACAGATGACGTTATGTAAGCATAAAATGTCATAAAGCTAAAAAATTCTCTTTAAGTATTATTTTGATCTTGGCTATTATTGTTTAGAGATTTAAATAGAATATTGGTTACTTTCTGTTTTGGAAAAAAAAACTGCAAGTTTTTATCACAGTTCTAATTGGATTTATGCTAATAACAGTAAATATATATACTTTAAAGTTTCCAGTGGTTATCACACGGAGCAGCAACATTTATGGACCCCACCAGTTTCCAGAAAAGGTAAGTCAGATATAGGTGTTTTTTTCCATAAAGGGACCAATAGTCTCTTTATAAAACAATGTGGAAATGGCAGCGATGAGATGAATTTCTTGTTAAAGAAGACATACAGCTATAATAGGATAGATATGGGGTGATACTGTCTACCAAGGGGTTGTTCATTCTTTGAGAAATAGCCTAAAGTTCCATCATAAACGAATTCGTTTTTAAGTAACCAAATTATATAAATAGAGTGTTGCTGTCAAGCACAGAGGTCGTAAGGTCCAGCCTTTGGGCTGTGTGTGCTCCCCCCCCAGCTTTATCAAACAAATGAGGAGACAAGAAGCAGCTTTCCCAAGTAGAAAAGTGCAGAAATTTGGCCCCTAGACTCACTGAATATTCCCACCCCTTTTGTCAGGTCAGAGAGGGTAACACTGATCACTGAGTCATACTGCCAAGACTTTCCTGGTGTGGATAAATTGCAGGATGGCCAGACGTACCAATGGCTGGGGGAAATCTTTTTGCCTAAGTATGCCTTCTGACACTTTGAGTCTCATGAAATAATCAGTACTGCAGGTAATTACCAAGAATTCATATGATTAAGAGATTTAGCCTGTATACCAACTGTTCCATGTAGAAATACCAAAATGCCCACAAAATGTAAGGAATCCAGTGGGTGACTGAGGCAAAGCCCTTCTTTGGTACCAACAATTCTGTTTTCCCAAAATAACCAAACTGCTGTAAAATTTTATTATGGATGTTGCAAAAAAAGTCAAAAGGAATAAAGCTCCAGTTTCAAAAAATAGTAAAAAGCATTTAAAGCATTTTGAAGCAAGGACAATTCTAGAATAGTCCCCACAAGAAAATAAGAAAGGTAATTATTCTAAGCTAATACATTCAAGCAGAACCTCAGTGTGTTTCCATAGCATTTACAGAGTACAAATTGGGTAGCAAGGCACAAGGTGAGCATAGCATTCTCCTTAAAGAGACTAGGATAAACCAAGCAAAACTCTCTTTCCCTTTTTATATCCATCATTCCATTTCCTAGACCCTTTGAGGGGATGCACCAATCAGACCTCAACCCCCCCAAACTTTCTCAAAGAAGAGTGTAACTTCTCCAGAGTAACTTTGCTGTCTCTTTGTCCATTCCCAGATGAAACCAGTTTTGTTAATTAGTTTGTACTGTGAGTGAGCTATGGCTTTGGAAATTCCTTCTCATGGAGATAAGACACGGCAAAGCTTCCCAGATAACGGACACCTCCCCACCCCTTCCTGGCCTACTCATCTTAGGCACAAGTTATAGCTATATTTCAAGGGGTAACTGAAGTCATTGTTCCTCCCTCCCCCATTTTCCAGTTTCTTGCATCTTTCTAGTAGTAAATGGGGTCATCTCTCAAACACTTTACGGAATTGAGATCTGGGGTATGAATCAGAACAACCTACACCATCTTGAAGTAGTACAGAATAAATTTTTGAGACACATCCTCACTGCACTCCAGGGGACTCTGTCAGCTTTTCTTAGAACCGAGACAGGCATGGTGTCCATTAAAGCCAGGGCAACTGTAGCTATATTCTCTTACTATAAGAGGGTAATGGATATGCCTGACTACCGTCTACCTAAACATTGTATGGTAGAGAAATGAAAGAGTGGTGGCTGGGCAACTTCAATTCAAACCCTACTAAAATCTAAATCCCTCTCAACATATATTTTTTTCTGGGGTTAAAAGAATATTGAGGGACTGGTTCTACAAATTGGATAACGGCCAGGACTTAACCTTAATTCACTCTTCAAACTTCTCTCACTGGTACCATCTGCTGAAAACAAACCACTCAAGGGCGCAATATTTACAAACACTTACTTTTCCCTCCTTGAGAACCGCATTCACAGAACTCAGTTTCCAAACCATGCCAACCGCTGTTTTAGACGGCAGGTATATGAATGTCCCTAAACATTTAAGACTATGTATTTGCGGAGCAGGTGAGATAGAGGATATTGTCCACTATTTACTGTCAGCTCTATCAAAACCCCAGAGAAAAGCTCCTGGGCAACTTTTGGCTGCTCTACAGGAGGAAAGCCCTCAGATAAAGGTGGTCAGGTTACTTTTGGACTGTGATCCTTATGTTCCATACAGAACAGCGCTGTTTGCAAAAGCAGCCAGAAATATTCAATCTAATTTCCTGAAAGCCATTGCGATCAATTGTGCGGGGGACTCCCAGATATGAAGTGTTTCTTATTATTTTATATGTCTGTGATTTTATCATGATTTTATTTGATCATATTTGTATTTTAAACAATTGTGATGGCTTTTAGCTAATACAATAAACTTGAACTTGAACTAGTAGTAAATGCATGGCAGTAGTAAAGTGTGGGAGCTTAGTCACTGAATCACTAAAGTCAATGTTTGGGTTCTACTAAATAACAGATTATTGATGCACATGATATTTAATATGAAGTTAAATGGGCTTCCACACATTTTTCTGGAACAAAGTAAGTCTTCATAGAATATTTCATAAGATGAAAATGAGGAGCAGAATCCTGTGGCTCTACTCCTTGTACTGCTTTGTAAAATCTTGGGCTTGGTGTTGAGCAAGTGGAGATCACCCCATTAGAAAGAATAGACTTATGTTTACATAGGGAGATGCTATGTATTTTCTTGCACAAGCTCAGAAAATGTTGGTTCGTGTTGATGGGCCATTGATTGTGTGCAAATCAAACTAGCAGGCCCGTAGGATTTGCATTTGGTTCTAAAGTAGCCTGAATTTTAACAATTGGTTCTATGTTACTTTTTAGGTTATTCCAAAGTTTATTTCCCTCTTGCAGCAGAACAGAAAATGGTATGTGTCATGTTGACATTTGTTGTTTTTGTCTTCTCAAAAAGATGTTTGCCAAAGCATCATTAAACTATACCATTAGAAGTTAAACACAATTGGTTAAAAAGCAGAACCAATAAGGCCAATGAAATAAGTTTCATAAGTTGGAATTTAATTATTCTGTGGATTAATCAGCATGTACAGTATACTACTTTTGACCAGATGGCAATAGCTTGTGTCACAGGGTTTTGATTTTGACATAGTCACTTTTTTGCTCTCCCTCCTTCCCTCATTCCCCCTCTCACCCCCCCCCCCAAACTAGATTTCTCTTGTATCACATCTCTCATGGTTTGGGCCCGTTATGTATGTTTTTCGTCATTGCTAGAGCACAGTCTGTAGTATACTCTTATAGCCACATCCAAAAGAAAGATAAAATAATAGCTTTATTGGACCATTGACATAGACAGGTGAGCTTTTGAAGCCAGCAACACTATTTATCCAGCTGGACATTGCAGAGCTAGACTGGGTGGAGGGAGAAGCAGAGTGTTTCAAACCTCATCCTGATAGGTGTTAATGGTGTGAGGATCTTGGATAACAATTACAGTATGCTCAGGTTGGGAACTGCATGCATATTGTACCAGCTTGAGTTATGTGGTTTCACCTCAGGTTATATGGGGGGATGAGTTGTCTTTCCTCTTCTCTGTAGACAAAGGGTTCCCTAGCCTAGTACATATTCAATTGCATTGTGTTGAAACACAAGTTCCTGTTTGGCTAGTGTGAGAAAGACAGGGAGGATGAGGCTTCCCTCGCTGGAGTGCCGTCCGTCCGTCATAGACCCGAAAAGTAGAATGAAAGAGGAAAGCGTGCTTAGAGCAGCCCAAAAGGGGGATGCAGGATAGGCACACTGAGGAAAGGGAATCCGATACCCTGGTGCCAGACTTGAGGGTGATGGGTATTGGAGAAGGAGAAGGAAAAAGAGCTGGAAACCAGAAGAAGAAGATGGAGACCCGGGAGGAGGGGCCAGGGGAAGCTATAAAAAGAGATGAGCCCTTGCCTCCGGGGTGGGAATATATATGGACAAAGGAACCCTGGACAGATAGATGGGAGAGAATAAGAGTTCCTCGCGAGGAGGCAGATTACAGGAGAAGATCCTCCATTCCGGTTCGCCCTCCTCATTGGGGGGAGAGAGAGGCTAAAGGAGTGGTGGAGAAAGCTGAAGGAAGAGAGAGAGAGAAAGTTGAGGTAGAAAGACAGTCGAGGACAGGATGGGGGATTCTGGAGATGAGAATGGAGGAGAAGAAAAGGGATGGCAAGTACTAGATAGGTCAGGGGATACCCAGTGGGATGAGATTCCCAGAGATGACACTGTGTCCCTGTTGCCGGGTTTGCTGACCCCCACTTTGAAGCATTGGATGTCTACTGATCTCCCAGGATCCTGGAACACTAGTTATAATAACCCATTTGTTATGGTCGATTAGAAACCCCTGTTGCCACGTTGGCTGAAGGAGACAAGAACTCAGATACAGTTAAAGATACTGGTTTATTTGTTAAGAGCACAATAAATGTTCCTTTGTTAGAAAAGCAATCCGCGTTTGAAGCGTTCCTTTTGAATGAGCAAGAGTCCCCCCTGAACCATCACAGCTAGGAATAGAGCGACCCAGAGGCATGTCAAATCAGAAGATTTGAAGGTTAGATTTAATGAACACATGGGGCCAGTTGGAGCCAAATTAAGATGGTTGTTGGTGGAAGACTGAATCCTTAGGTGGAGCAATGCTTCTTGAGAGATAAGAGAATTTCCTACTGTGGTTGTAGATTTGCCTTGAGTGGCTATTTTGGGTATTTTCCATAATCCATTGGAAAAGGGAAAAAGCTGTGTGTTCATCGTACCAATTGCAAAAGCAATGCTGGGTGATATCTTTTTATTGGACCAGTAGAATATTACAGACAGATAAGCTTTTGAGTCCAGCAGAACTTTCCCAGAATTCTATTTTTTAAAAAACCCACAGCAGTCTTGCTACCTGTGGCCCCAGGATTCTTGGCGTTGTCACAGATAGTACTTATCTGTGACATAGTCACAGATAGATAGTACTTACGGAGAAGATATTTGTTGTCAGCTGAAATCCTGCTTGTTTTTATGGCATATTGTTTTTATTGTGCATATGGTTGTAAAAAGCCTATATAAGACCCATTTTAAACTGTGGTTTAAACTGTGGTTTCTGGCTTATGCAACAATTGTGGCAGCCTGCAGAACTGTTGCATTCCATGATTGATAAAACAATTCTGGCCATCATTTCCTTTATACTTTGCCTTTCCCTGTTACACAATTCACAGATTGTATTGCAAAGAATAGAAGCTTGAATCAAACAACATTAAAATGCTACAGATCTCTATCTTTTTCTAAATTCTGTTGGGCAGGTTATAATTTTGGCAGTCTGACTAGAAGGATGCGGGAATAGCAACTGCTGCCTTTTAAAAATGCCTGCTAAAGTTATCTACTGTTTTATTTTCCATTTAGTTGCATTCATGGCTCAGGACTTCAGAAGAGAAATTTTCTTTATGCCAGTGATGTAGCAGAAGCATTTCTTACTGTTATGAAGAAGGGAAAGCCAGGTGAAATCTATAACATTGGGACCAATTTTGAGATGTCTATTGTACAGCTTGCAAAGGAATTGATCCATCTAGTGAGTAGTAAATAACATTGGAAATTGATGGCTAAACAACAGTATAGTTGGCTGGATAGGTCATTGAGTTAGATATCTGACTGCAGAACCAAAGAGTTAAATTCCCCGCTGTGTCTCTGTGCAGGAGAGCCGGTCTATGTAGCCATGGGTAAGCTGCACAATCTTAGGGCACCCACAAAAGAAAAGAATGGGAACCCACTTCTGAGTACAGTGGTGCCTCGCATAGCGATCGCTCCGTATAGCGATGAAATTGCTTTGCGACACATTTTTTGCGATCGCTTTGCGATGGTCCCTATGGGGTATTTTCGCTTTGCGATGATCGCAGGGAAGTGATCATCGCAAAGCCCCCATTTTCACACAGCTGATTGGCGGTTTCAAAATGGCTGCTGGGTAAACAAAATGGCCGCCTGCTGTTTTCAGGTACGGATTCCTCGCTTTAGAGGCACTGAAAATGGCGGCGCTATGGAGGATCTTCACTCAGTGGTGAGTTTTAAGCCCATAGGAACGCATTGAAGGGGTTTCAGTGCGTTTCTGTGGGCTTTTTAATATCGCTTAGCGATGTTATCGCTTAGCAGTGATTTTTTTTGGCACGAATTAACATCGCTAAGCGGGGCACCACTGTACTCTGTATTTAGGAAACCCTGAAAAAGCTGGAATTGACTTGATGGCATATAGTTGTTACTATTATTATTAAGCACCGGTATTCCTAGGCTAAATTAATTGAACAGATGCATTTAATTGAATGAATCATCTGAGATAACATGGCTCTTAGGGTGTGTACAGAGGTATGTAGCAACAAGAGCAAATGCAAAGTTGGGGATTTTTGGTCACTTGTTTAGGAGGTGAAATCTCCAAACTCTCCAGTTTCTCCTCATGTACATAATGGCTGAAACCCTGATAGTAGGTTACAACTAAAGTTCGCCCATTGAATCAGTGGAACTTACAGAGGAATTGACTCACCAAGTCCTCACTGATTCGGTGGGCCTACTCTAATTGCAGCTTACTGCTGGATGTAAGCCCTTATCTTTTCCTGCCCCTTCCACTCCCACCACATTTCATACATGTGCCCTATTAGGTTTTTGATCCATTTACATACTGAGCTTTTTTTTAAAAAAAAAATTCTAAATTTTAGTATTTAAAAATCTTTCCAGTGATGGGGCATGTGGTTTCATGACTGATAGCAGTGCCTGTCAGTCAGTACTGTACTCTGATGGAGAAAAGAGCCATCTAATGAGCCCTGTGGAAATTGTCTTTGGTTTAAGGTGGAAAAAATAGCTTTCTCCTAAGATCAGTCTTGGAGGAAAAATGGCTTGTCTGTCAGCATCTGTAATTCATACACTTCCAGAATGGGCTGACAAATGAAATTATGTATTTCTGGATATACCCATAGTTGGTATATTTTAGTATCATTATGTGACACTTACATATTTTCCAGCGGATTCCATGATTTTTTTATAAGTCATTGACATTGACCTTGAAAAATCATTATTCCATACAGACTTCTTGGTTTAAATCTTGTTGCTGATCTTAACTAGATTGGATCAATTAAATTAATATATTAATTAATAAATTAATATAGTGCATATGCACATCACACTGATTTAGGTGCTGTGCTCTAGTTTGGGCCAGCTCTTTGATTTAAGCCATTGTTTTCAGTGGTTCTGTTATAAGTACAGCTGAAATTGGATCTAATCTATTGGCTGAATCCTGCTGCAGGTTTATGCAAATAGCATAGGCTTTAGAGGTGAGTAGCCTCAAATTAATAGGGACGTGGTGGCGCTGTGGGTTAAACCACAGAAGCCTCTGTGCTGCAAGGTCAGAAGAGCAGCAGTCATAAGATTGAATCCACATAACGGAGTGAGCTCCCGTCGCTTGTCCCAGCAGGAGGTAATGGCATTCCATGTCTAGTCACGCTGGCCACGTGACCACGGAAACTGTCTACATACAAAACACTGGTTCTGTGGCTTGGAAATGGGGATGAGCACCACGCCCTAGAGTCCGGCATGACTGGGCTAAATGTCAAGGGGAACCTTTACGTTTACCTAGCCTCAAATTAAGAAATATCAATTGACTTTAGCTGTTGCATGCTGAGTCACGTGACTCAGTATGCAACAGATAGTGTCTACCGATATTCTTATAACAGTTCGCTTCAAATGTTATGCCATTTGCATAACTTTACACCAGGATTTCAGCCAATGTGTTTATTTTCAGTATTCAAAGGTTTCTGTTACAGTATGCAGAATTTATGCTATATTCTTTCTGAAAGTGCTTTTATTCATTGAATGTTGGGCTAGATCCCTAGAAAATATATTAATGTTAGTTCATTAGTTATAGCTCCACACAGAATGTAATACAAATCAACATATGTTTTAATTTTTAATCACTTTTAATGTAGTTTTTTTGTCATTGACAGATAAAAAATACTAATTCAGATGCTGAGACAGAATATTGGATGGATTATGTTAAAGACAGGTAGGATATAGATGATTACTAGGAGTAATTTTCATTTCAAATAATCACTCTTGTCATGCTTTTTTTCTGTGCATTTGTAAAATACTGTATGTGATTGTTGTCAGTGCATTAGAAAGTTTCATATTTAGTTCCGTATTAAGGAGCTGCAGGTTTTGACATTTTTGGTAGTCAGTGATTACCTAGCTCTCTTTCTGCTGGTGTGCCCACTACATGGAAAAGGAGGCATGGAGTGCTGAAACCCACTCTTTTTTTTTTTTTTTTTTGCTCCAGACCCCCCCCAAAAAAAACAATGGAGGAATAGGTTTGCAGATTTGGTTTTGCATGGCAAAAGTGGTCCCCAAGCTATCTCCTGACCTTGTACCATGAGAGAAGTTCACCCAACAATTGCTGGGATGATCCTGTAGCACTTCTTTAGTTCTAAGCTTAGAAAAAAAATCTCAAGCTTCTCACATTTACTGTGGCAAATGAAAATGTGAAATGTAACTTGCCTTACATCTGCAGCTTAACCAACAACAGAGCTACTTATACATTCCAGGAAGATGTGCACTGAAATGCATTATTGGAAGCCGTGTGAAGTGGGAGTATATATACTACTTTAAGAGTCCACTTTTCCTCTTTCTTTTAGTAAATTGCCAAACTTTCCTTCCCCATCTTTTCATTGCTCATTAATTGCCTGTTACAATGACATACAGCATGTGGCTTTCCAGATATTGTTGGACTGTAGTTTCCATCCCGTGCCATTGGGCTGAGAGCGATTTCAGTGTTGCAATATCTGGAGGGCCACAGATTGTTTCCATTGGCCCTATTTCTTCTGCTTTATAAGATCAATAGTGCCTCATATGCTGTCTGCATCTAAAGTAGAGGGCTGCAGCCCCTAAAAGCTTAAGGTAAAAAAAAAGTTAGTCCTTCAAATGGCACAATATTCTTGGTTGATTGGCTACAACTATTACTGACTAACATGGCTGCATCTCTGGAAGTATCTATCCTAAGACTAAAATGATTGATCTGCTATCAAAATAAGGGGCAACCCAGCATTATCTCTTAATGCTAAAGCATGTTCATTGATAGATGTTCAGGAAGAACAGTTCCTCTTTAGTGAAACCAAGAAGCTCAGTGTACAGTTGTAAGATGGCAGAATTGAATTGTATGTAGTGGGTGCGGTAAGGTCTTTTGATTATAGAGAATTTGGATGTGTGAAATCTTGGATGTAGAAAAAGCATGGGGAGGTGATGATGGGCTTTTATAGTTAACAAATACTCGCTATTGATACTTGGGAGAGAATTTCCTTGAAAAGTTCCAGTATAGTTATTACAGTACTTATGAGCAATCTATGCTGTAGGCTATACATCTTTATAGACGGTATTTCATATGAGTACAGAGCTAGTTCTTCCAATATTTGCTACTTTCCCCCTCTTGGCAGTCCTTTTTCCCTTTGTGTTACTTTTTTGGACTATAAAGCTTTTATAGTTTAACAGGACAGGGACTTTATTATTACTGATCTTTGTAAATTTCGGGGAGTTTCGTTTTTTTTGCTTTGAGAGGATAACAGAATGCATGCTTTTTATAGTAAAATAATCAGATGATTTGCTTGAGGCTACAACTGCTTGAAGCATTTATGTATTTAAACAATTTTTAAAACTAGTATTTAGAGCTAAAGAAATGAATTTGAACTGTCCACTCTTTTTATTGGAATTCTTCAAAGTTTTATAAGCCTTTGAAGCAATTTGGCTGTACAATGCAGTACAATGTAGCTCCTTTGAAAACAGAAAAAAAGCATGCTCTTACTTACCAGTAATTAGTTCTGAATGTCATTTTTTTCTTCCCTGCTACCATTTTCTTTCAAATAAAGTGGTCCCATTTATCTCTGTGCCAGTACTTCAGCTATGTTAAGGTGCAGTAAAACTGTTTGCTATTGCAGTAGGTTCAAGTAAACAGGACACTGGTGTTTCAGCCATTTATTAACCATGAAGCTTAGTGGAAACCATGTATGTTTCGACTTAATCTGTTGCACAGCATTTCAGATAACAGTTTTAGGCTATGTTGCCTAAGGACAGTCACCTTGAAGTGCCAAAATTGACTGGTATTAAATTCCTAATTAGTTTTATGAGACTGTCATTAGAAATGGAAACTTTTCTACAGAATGGTAGATCATTAAAATTACTAATCTCTCCCATTATTATCTCATGCATAGTTCCCTGGTTACAGTCATTTCATCACAGATTAAAAATTATTTTGGAAGTGAGCATGTGTAAATCACATCTCAGATTGTATAGTGGAGGCTGGAGTAAGATGCAGCATTGATGAAGGATTGATCCAGAGGAAGAAAGTGATGACCCTCTAGTTGCTTTTTAACAATGATGCATATGTGCTACTTGAAAATGATATGTTTGCCCTGAAACCAACTTCTCTCTCTCTCTCTCTCTCTCTTTTCAAAGACCTACAAATGACTTGGGCTATCCAATGAACTCTGGGAAAATGTACAGTTTAGGCTGGAGACCTAAAGTACCTTGGAAGGAAGGAATAAAGAAGACAAGTATGTTGTCAATATATCTGGAAAAGGGAGTGGAACAGAATATCATTAATTTTAAAGGAGTTGGTTATATAGATCATTTTGGATAGCAAGCTTGGCATTGTTTATTTATTTATTTTATTTATTGGATTTATATACCGCCCCATAGCGAGACAGCTAAAGTAAGGTACTTTCTATATTTACATTTTAATGTTCATGTAGCAATAGAGGTAAATGAGTCTGTCTTATGAGCTTGAACATGAGTGGACACTATTTTGGGAAGTAGTGGGGAAAGAGTTGGAAATATAAGAATACAAATTACCTACATTTGTGATTTTGCATTGACAATACAGCCACATACTACTCTGTTTAATTTTATCTTTTCTAGTGTGTGTAATTTAGCATGAAGAACTAAATCGGTAATTGAAATAACAGCAGAAGGGAGTTAATTTACAGTTTTACATTCAGTTTTTTGTTTAAGCTTGGTACCAGATAGGTTTCAGTTGGTATAATTCCATTGTGCAGCTTCTGTTGTTAGTTTAAGTGCTTTATTAAGTTCTCAGGTTCTGGAAAGTCACTATAGAACTATAGTTCTTAAATTCCAGAAAACAAATATTTGTTCATAGGACGCCCATGACTGACAGCTAGAGAGGGTCCTTTATTGAATGGAAGGCACTTTTGCCTTCTGAATTTCACCAGTCTTACTTCCACTGTAGCACTCTATATCACATATCTTGCCATTGCAGAAGGTCCTAGGTCCTGAGCATGGGCTTAATGGGTTGCACAGGAAGACTTGCTGTATGAGCTGAGTTCTTCTTGTATTTGCTTGACTTTAATTTGTAATTCATGATTAACTGTGTGATGAAATTAACTTCTTTCCCCTTATTTTAGTTTTCTGAAATAATCACTGTTCCTGGTATTATTCATTCTAAATGACTGACATGGTTGCTATTCTGAAGTTATTTATATTTAAACTGTCAAAATCTGAATGCATTGTATTCATGCATATTGCTTTCTGAATCGTGTCAGATTGTAAGTGTAACTTGACACATTTCTACATAATTATAAGACAGAAATTCCTTCAAACTTCAAAAAATGTCCTCATTATTGACTTAGATAGTGAATCCCAGAAAGCTGTAGTCTGGTGCATTCAATTGTAGTGAGATCGGTAATTTTTTTAAAAATCAAGCATTTGTACTGTAAACATGCATATTAAAGTATTCTTTAAATGCCTATTTTCTTTAAAATATTCATTTTCTTATTATAGTTGAATGGTATCAAGAGAACTTCCATAACTGGAAGAATGCTGAGAAAGCTTTGGAGCCTTTTCCTGTTGCTGAAGAATCTGTGTGATTTTGGTCTGCAGCAAAATTGGAAAGAAAAATGAATTCTACCTCAGGACCACATGAAGGAAAAAACTGCTCAAGCATCTAAAGTACAGATGCCTCGTGTTCAAGAAATGTCAATCATTGCTATCGAGAAAGAAAATAGAATGGAATTTTAGATCCCCTTTGGGGCCCAGCTTAATTTAATCAACATTCCAGTGCAGTACTGAAGCTTTAACATGAACTTTTTTTAAAAATGCAATCAAAGCAATTTTTGTAAATTAAACATGCACTTTTTATCATGATCATCATGATTCATTAACAGTATTATTTTAAAAAGTCTAGGGAGCAATTTTTAGCAAAGAGATCTTTTTGCTTGCAATGAATTTGAAGACAAAAAGCAGCAGAGGCCTCATCCTGACCTCTCAAAAGTGATTGTTTGATCATATGTTCATTTTAAAATGCTGTATAGTCCTATGTAATCTTAGTTTCAGTGATCTGAAGAGAAGAAGTAATTTTCTTTTAGCACTGTGCTTCAATGATTATTTTTGTAGACAACAGTTTCATTTAATTCCAGGGTAGGTAAGAGACATGACTGAGTGCTGATGCTAAAATATTTGCCTTATCATAACGGGTAGAATAACAATGCGTACTTTAAATATACTTCATTTGGCTTCCTTATATTTGGTTCACAGTGGTGGTTCTAATTCACTGACCAGACTCCTATTGCTTGGTTATGTTTTTACAAGTGCAGTGACCTGAATTGTACCAGGAAATTGCTTCTAGATAATAAGTTGCCATTTGTATCCCTCAATATGCACCAACACATGCAACTGGTGCACAATGAGGAGATGCAAGCAGGAATTTAACTACCAAGAATTCAGTGTTATAATTTATACCATTGCATATGTGCTGGTGTAACTATCCAATAAGATCTTTATTAAAAGCCAGTGAAATAATGCAAATAATACTGAAGTGGAGACCCCTCAAAATTTAGGACACATTCCACCTCAATATGCACCAACACATGCAACTGGTGCACAATGAGGAGATGCAAGCAGGAATTTAACTACCAAGAATTCAGTGTTATAATTTATACCATTGCATATGTGCTGGTGTAACTATCCAATAAGATCTTTATTAAAAGCCAGTGAAATAATGCAAATAATACTGAAGTGGAGACCCCTCAAAATTTAGGACACATTCCATTGGGGTTTTGGAAAAAAAAATTTAGGACACATTCCATTGGGGTTTTATTCCCCCGATGTGCTTCCTTTTGTTTCTGAACTAGATGTAAAGCAGCACATTCAAAGGGCTGAACGCTATGGTGTCAGGCCAAATTGCCACTATGCTTCTTGTTTCCATCAGTTTGACATGTGTCCTACACTTTCCTTTCAACTGTTCCAAAGTAGCATCTGCAAAATCTAAAGGTACACATTCAGACTAGTGTCAGACCAACTTCTATTGAAAACTGCTTAATTTCAACAGGACCAATGGGATTGTGACAGTGTGCTTCATCACAATCTGTATAGACAGAAGCACATCCTAACAACTCCTTCGCCATTAATGCCAAAAGCACTCAAGCCACATTCTGTAATTTGACATTTTTGCAGCTTCAAGCATGAGAGGATGCTGAGTAATTGGTCTTTCACATTCATATTAGCTCAGTTTAAATCTGTGCTAGCCATTGGTGATGTAGTCACCCATGTAACTATTCAGTGGGGCATTTCACTTCATTTGAATATGCTTATCGCCTGTGTTTAGTTACCGGTATTTGCCTGTGATGTTGGCATGCTAGCAGTAGCTCTACAGGGGCCAGAAGCCACTAGCATGATAATACCACAGGTTATAAGAGGATAAGATACTGGCTGTGTGGAATGCTTATATTAGCAGGTGGTTTGTCCAAGGTCAGTGCAGCCTTGAAAATCCAGAGAAACTTAACCGAGAATGCTTTTAAATTAAGTAAAAAGGAATGGGGAGTATTCTTACCTACATATAGTAAAAGGTAACTATAGTATAATCTGGTTGCAAATGAAGTGAGTTGGATATGATTACTTAAACAGGAATGTATTGTGAGCTTTGGCCTAATTCCCTCAATCTAATTCCTGAAACAGAATTATTTTTCATGGTTTCACTTGATTTTAATGATAAATTCTTGTAAAAATTATTATAGTTAGCTGATTCCGTCAAAGGTACACCTTAATATTGATGTGAATTATGTGGAGCAATTTGTTAATTAGGGTCAATTATGCCAGTTTAAAACTTGGATAACTACTGCTTGAAAGCAGTATTTCATGTGACTGAATTACCTTCATAGTCGAACCCAACACTAAATTGGATTATGCTGGGTGTGTTTTATGTGTGCATTTGGCTTACATGTATTGTCTTGAAATCAGATTGTCTACAAGATACATTTTTATGTTCAGTACTTCATTACATTGCTCTGAGTAAAAAACTGCATTTTAGTCATTGTACTTAAGCAGCGGTAATCTACATCCAGTACTCGTGCACGCCCATACTGGGCAAATGTAATCCATCAACCAGTCAGATGTAAAAACCATAGGGGTGGAAGAGGACTAGGAAGAATGTGTAACCCTCCAGCTATTGTTGGAATGCAAGTTCCATTATGATAGTGAATAGTGTAGAATGATAATTGCAACTTGACATTGTCTGGAGACCACAATGTTATTCAATTTAGAATTAAAAGATTTTAAGACCAGTAATTTGTTCCAAATACCAGAACTGAATGAAGCTGATAATGTGTTACCCACTCCCACTCAGTTAAAGCTTACTTTGAATTATATCTTGATAATATATTTTTTTTGTGTTGCTCTGTTGCTGAACAATTGGAAATTGAAAATCCCTGCCATTCTATTTTGGATCACCCAGAGATCCAACTGTAGATTCTGATCTCTCAGATTTTCTTTCCAGCTTAAAATCATTGTAAATGGAGTAACGGTGAATTTTAAGGCTGTTTGGGGAGGAATAACAGAGTCTATCTGTAAAGAGAATGTGTGACCTACAGCAGATTTTGCCCACTGGCAAGCATATATGCCTTACTAATGTTATGTCCCTGAGGTGCTTCAACTACTGTACTTTGTATCGATTTTATTTTCTTGCAACACAACCCAGCAAAACCTCTCTCCAAATCAATTGTACTGTATTTCCTTGCCTGTGAATCTTAACCGAAATCAGCGGGTTTTACAAAGTGAACAGGGCTTGGATTGTGATGCTGGTCGCTGTGGAAACTTTCAAAGAGGGAACTCTGTTTTGGCACATACAGCAAAACAACAACAATTTGTCAGTGTCAGGTTATAGTCCACGAAAGTTAATATTGAAACAAACCTGTTAAGTCCTAAAAAGGTGCTACAAGGCTTTGCTTTATTCTTTCCCTTTTGGTCAAGTTTTTACACGTGCAAGATCGTTACGTGTAAGGAGGGGACTTCAAGGTATAAAGATTTGCCGACCTGGGCGGGAATCGGGTCTGTTTTAAATGTTCCTTTAATCGCAGTTCGTTCTTTCATCCACTGAAAACAAGAGACCCGTTTCCCCTCAGAAGAAAACCGTTCACATTTGAGAGACCTCACCTCAGGGACTCCCATCTATGACGTGCCCTTTTATGACAACAATCATGAGCATGAGAGCGATGAAGAAGGATCCTTTACCTATCTTGGTCAAAACTGAAATTATTATTGTCTCGATCAATAGACGATCACCCAAGCAAGCCACCAGAATTTATCCCTGGTATGTGTAAGGTAACAAATTGTCGTAAAACGACGGTCTTTAACATGTTTTAAAATCCCACCACCCGCGATTTTTAAAAAAATCTTTTTCCCTTCCTGAAAAAATATTGCGACGTTCATGTGAGAGTCGCCTCAGAACCACCGGCGTTTAAAAAACGTGCACATCTGAAAGGCTCCTGAAGCAGCTGGGATGGTTTTGCCATTTAAGGCAATATCATTAGAGCTAATAAAGAGCAATTGTGACGCAATTGACAACGAGACACTGTCAAAACGGCACATTTTTGAAAATCTAGAGTGATCGTTTGCGAGGGCGGAAAAAAGGAGAGAAAGAAAACTGAAGTGCTTTTTGTAGTCTGCTGTGAAAAGAGATCGACCAGCCGCCGAAATAGCTCAGTTGGGAGAGCGTTAGACTGAAGATCTAAAGGTCCCTGGTTCGATCCCGGGTTTCGGCAGGTATCATTTTTTTCCCTCTTGAGAAAATCCCCCCCTTGCTCCCGGAACGTCATTGTTATCTTGCTCGTTGAAAAAAAAAGTGAGTCAACTGGGTTCTCATGACTACACCTGATTTCAAGTCCCTTAACGCGGATCTTCGCAAACTACAGTATGTCATTTAAACTTGCGAATCTATGCATTTTGAGCGTCTGGATATGCCTTTTCGTTGTGGTTCCTCTAAAACTGGCGTATGGACGCTCCCAGATCTTTGTAAGTATACGCGTTCCCCCCAAAGCTGACCTGCAATCATAGCGCTAATTCTTGGAAGCAAATACTGTATCCCATCTCGCCCCCCCTCTTCAACCCCCCTGCCTCATTACTAGCTGCCTGCGCTACTCATAGTTTAACGCACTATATTAATTGGTGAACCAAGCTACGTATGAAATGGCAGCTGTGCAATGTTTTTCGTGATGCAAAGAAAAGGAGGGAGGTTTTCTTTCTTCGGTACCTAAAACTTGATGTGGAAAGAAAAGGCGGATTCATGAAATCAAGGAGGGATCCTCATTATTTCATATGATTTTTATGTGAGATCCTCACAACTCACAAGTCATAGCTCTCCTACTGTATATACTCACAGACTCCCCTCCCCGCAAATCATGGATCCTTTGGCACATGGCTTTGCAGTGGTGTGAAATGTAGATTTAAGGCACAGATCTTCATGATTTCATATGATTTTTGGATGCAACCCTCCCGAATGATATAATGGCAATAGGAAAACCAGCTAGATCCCACTTGCACCCATAGACTACACCACAGAAATCGTGAGCCTTGCAGTGCATGGCTTTGCATTGGTACAAAAATCTGGTTATGAAGTGTGGGTCCACATGATTTTTCTAGAAGATCTCTCCAAACTACTGTCCAATCATAGGTCCCATCTGCACCCACAGACTACAATACAGAAATCATGGGTGCCTCAGTACATGGCTTCCCAGTGATGCAAAAAATGGCAGTCCAAGGCATGGATTCTCTGGGATCCACATTATTTTCATGTAGGATCACCCCCAAACCATTGCCAAATAGCAAATCCCATTTGTACCCAGAGACTTCAACATAGAGATCATGAGTCCTTCAGAGCATGCCACTGCAGTGGCCAAAAACATGGATCCCAGGCATGGCTCCTCATTGACCCACATGATTCTGATGTAAGATCTTCCGCAAACCACTGACCAATATAGGCCCCATCTATGCCCACCGACTGTAAAATGGTAATTATGGCTTTGGAGTGGGAGAAAAAAAACGGATCAGAGCCATAGATGATTATGGATTCACATGCTCTTTTGTGGAATCTGC